CGATCCTGGCAAACCATGGACTGAACACATGAGCAACGATCCTGGCAAACCATTGACTGAACACATGAGCAACGATCCTGGCAAACCATGGACTGAACACATGAGCAACGATCCTGGCAAAACATGGACTGAATACATGAGCAACGATCCTGGCAACCTATTGATTGAATACATGAGCAACAATCCTTGCAAGGTATGGACTGAACACATGAGCAACGAACCTGGCAAACCATGGACTGAATACTTGAGCAAAGATCCTGGAAACCATGGACTGAATACATGAGCAACTATCCTTTGCAAACCATGGACTGAATACATGAGCAACGATCCTGGAGAACCATGGACTAAACACATGAGCAATGAACCTGGCAAACCATGGACTGAATACATGAGCAACGATCCTAGCAACCATGGACTGAACACATGAGCAACGATCCTGACAAACCATTGACTGAATACATGAGCAACGATCCTGGCAACCATGGACTGAACACATGAGCAACGATCCTTTGCAAACCATGGACTGAACACATGAGCAACGATACTGGCAAACCATGGACTGAATACATGAGCAACGATCCTGGCAAACCATGGACTGAACACATGAGCAACGATCCTGGCAAACCACGGACTGAACACATGAGCAACGATCCTGGCAAACCATGGACTGAACACATGAGCAACTCTATTTGTACACAATCAGAGTCTGAATGCACACAATCAGACAAGTGTTAGATTTATACTGAGGTCATCTTTTCCGGGTCTCCTTGCATGGTGACAATTTTTAAACACTTCACTCAACAATATTTCAGCTTTTTCACGGCATCTGTAAATGATTAAAGTCTGGACCAGACAATCCAGTGCTTCACATGGCAATGATCCACACAGTTGGGTTACGATGACATGCAATCAACCAAGTCACCTAGTCTGACCACTCGAGCCATTTAGTCACCCCTGAGGACAAGCACTGGTTACTGGTGAACTTTAGTCTTACCCGACTTCCTCACTAGTCTTCATATTTGGTAATGGTATAGAAGAACGTCCTATCAAAAGTTGGTCAAATTATTAAAATATCCTTATGTAATCGGCCTCTAGCAAAATCCCTGCCTGTACTGCATGAAGAAACATGTGTTAACTGTGCATAGTGACGAAAGACCTGTTACATGTATACAGATCAGAGAGAGTGCATGGGTGAAACTACAGGTGCCTTGTGTCAATATTCCAATCACATCTTTGCGCTAATAATACGACAATGGGTTTCACATATTGTCCAACAGACATCAAGCAACGTCTGACACTATGTTCTAAACACATTCAGCTTGAAATATTCTTGTATCCTTTAAATATTCAAGAAATACATTATTAATGCAAATAATGAAATGACTCAAAAGGCATTCAGATCAACAATTTATTTTACAGAAAATACTTGAAAATGACGAATAATCAAATCTGTGACACACAAGCCACACAACAATAAGGTGTGTGTGCGGGGGGTTGGGATGTGGGGGGTGCCATCAAACAAGGCACCGCATCTGACCACAAAATAATCCATTTCAAAATCTTAGTATTTAAATTCAGTTGAAGGCACAGGTAGCCAGTCGTCTAAGGCGCCGCAACTTGCTGTGAAGAATTGTGTCACAGATGATAGTGAGTTCCCCCAATTATGTTTCTAGTTTTGTCAGCACCATACCAGTGCTCGTGGGTTTCACCAAAGTGGTTAACGTCTGAGACCTGCATCACTTTCCTCCCACATTTTGCTGACACGCCTTGATATAACTGTTCAAGGCAGCGTTGAATGTAACTCACTCATTCACTCAAATTAAGTGAAATACATTCACTTAAGTGACATCTTTCCAACAAAACGGCATACATATATAATCCTGCTAAGAACTGACAATTATAAATGAGGGAATGCTGTTGAGCGCCGCAGTCATTATCAGTCCAGGCAAAATAAGGTTTCACTTGGAACAAATTGCAACAGAATTTATTTTACCACAATTCATTTCTACAAGGTCCCGAAAACAACATACTGAAAGTCCTAAGCAACCCAAGTCTGGAAAATATGTCTAATTTGCATAATCCAATATGGCCACCAATTATCAATTTATCTTCCATATTTCAGGTTTGGTTTGAATTCAAGAAACGCCAAATAAGGATCTTTGGTTTTAAACAGAAGGTTAAATTGATAAACCTAAATCACTTTAAGTTGTCCTTCCACACTAAGTTGACTGTGATTTAACTAAGGACTGTTCAGGACTCAATCACTCACTCATTGTCTGGTACAGCAACTTGGAGTATTTTTGACTGGCGTTAAAAAACATTCACTCAGACCAACAAAACAAACATTATCATCATCATATATATATATATAATAAAATTATAAAGTCCACGTTAGTCCATCATCTTCTTTATATCAGTTTCATACATAGTACTTTCGCTGTCTCATGACAGCTCTTCAGTGTGGACAGCGAAACTACTATGTAAAGATACTGATATAAAGAAGATGATGGACTAACGTGGACTTTATTATTTTATTATATATTACATGTACACCGAGTGAACATTTACCTCATTTTTGTATATATTTATAACATTTCAACTTTGACACTGTACAATCCTACATGCACCATAACAACATTATACAATGCTACATACGCCACTACATCACTATACAATGCTACACACACCACTACAACTCTATACAATGATAATTACGCCACAAAACACTATACAATGCTATATACGCCACTACAACACCATACAATGCTACACACGCCAATACACCACTATACAACACTATTTACACAACAACACTATACAATGCTATATACACCACTATAACTCTATACAATGCTATATACACCACTACAACACTATCCAATGCTATATACACCACTACAACACTAAGAAATGCTATATACGCCACTACAACACGTTACAATGCTATATACACCACTACAACACCATACAATGCTTTATACGCCACTACAACACTATACGATGCTATATACGCCACTACAACACAACGCTATATACGCCACTACAGCACTATACAATGGTATATACACCACTACAACACTATTCAATGCTATATACACCACTACAACACTACACAATGCTATATAAACCACTACAACACTATACAATGCTATTTACATGGCATTATTCATATCAATGCAATGTCAGGTTTAATGCATAAAATGCCTCACACAAACACACAATATTACATCATTCATATCAAATAAAAATAGACATATGTTTGGTCATCAATACTACTTCACCAATAGTTATACAAGGTAACATATACCATACACCTGAATCCACACTACAAGTATGTCTAAACCATGTGAGGATATATTCACTATCATAGTATATTCATTATCATAGATCATGACAGACAAAGTAGAAAAACTCCAACATGTGGCATGTTGTCTACATTACACGAGAAATACTACATCATATGGTAATCCAGATGCACCACCCTATCTAAATATATACAGCTGATTAATAACAGGTACATCAATCTAGATGGTGCTATGGTATATACAATATATGTCGTTATCACTATTTAACATTACAGCTAAAATGGATAGAATTGTCATTAAACCGCCCTCATGTTATCAGAATTGAGCGGGCCACTGTAACTTTATAATGCCTTCATTTTTCTTGACGACGGGCCATTATCACGCCCGTTGTTAGGTGACGTCATAGGATATGGATAGGTGACGTAACGCTCAATAGTGACATCTTCTGGTTTGTTCTATGACGTTTCCATATTTGTAAAAGTGGGTCAGTGACATTCGTATTGATTGCAGGAAATGTTTCAAAACCGATATTGTTGTTTCTTTTTATTTGATAACAAATCCTATCCAATTTAGCTATAATAACGGTAATGCTATTTTTGAGGGCATTATCATTTGCAGAAGTCCGAGGTCTTCCATTAACTGCCTGACGAAGGAGGGCATTTGAAAAGATCGAGGGCAATTTAATGCCCTGAAAAATAGCGTTACCCTTAATGTAATCCATAAACACATGCTTATGATATAGTTGGAATGCAATATATACCACTACAACACCAAACTGCTGTATACACCATTACAACTCCTTACTGCTGTATACACCACTACAACATCATACTGCTGTATACACCACTACAACATCATACTGCTGTATACACCACTACAACATCATACTGCTGTATACACCACTACAACACCTTACTGCTGTATACACAACTACAACATCATACTGCTGTATACACCACTACAACATCATACTGCTGTATACACCACTACAACACCTTACTGCTGTATACACCACTACAACATCATACTGCTGCATACACCACTACAACATCATACCGCTGTATACACCACTACAACACCTTACTGCTGTATACACCACTTCAGCACCTTACTGCTGTATACACCACTCCATCACCTTACTGCTGTATACACCACTACAACACCTTACTGCTGTATACAACACTACAACACCTTACTTCTGTATACACAACTACAACACTATACTGCTGTATACACCACTACAACACCTTACTGCTGTATACACCACTACAACATCATACAGCTGTATACACCACTACAACACCTTACTGCTGTATACACCACTCCAACATCATACTGCTGTATACACCACTACAACACCTTACTGCTGTATACACAACTACAACACCATACTGCTGTATACACCACTACAACACCTTACTGCTGTATACACCACTACAACACCATACTGCTGTATACACCACTTCAGCACCTTACTGCTGTATACACCACTTCAGCACTTTACTGCTATATACACCACTACAATATTAGTGTACTTATATTATGCTTCAACCAACATGTGAGTGTGTGTTTGTTGTTCTACGCCGCACTCAGCAGGATTCCAGCTATATGACAGCGGTCTGTAAATAATCGAGTCTGGATCATACAATCCAGTGATATACATCATGACCATCAATCCACGCAATTGGGATCGATGACATTCATCAACCAAGTCAGCGAGCCTGACCACCCAACCGGTTAGACGCCTCATACGACAAGCAAAGCCGCCTTTTAAAGCAAGCATGGGTTGCTGAAGATCTTCACAGGTCTCAAACAACATGACCGTCTTTGAAAACTCAAATATGTAAGATTTGGCTTTAAATAATCAAAAGGCAATACACACGTGCAGAATGATCTCCAAAGGGTATAAAAGCCAATTCGATCAGAATTTACACAAAGCAACACTTATGCCAAGATTATCGCCTGAGCAGAGAGAAAGGGCCATTGGTATGATACAGATGGGGGCTACCCAAAGAGATGTAGCAACAACCTTAGCCTGCACACACATCTCAATCACCAGATTGATGGCTCGTTTCAACCAAAGAGACAGTGCCAGGGAAAGACCTAGATGCAGCAGATCACCCTTGATCAGCCCGAACGACAACGCTACCTTGGGGTTTTGCATCCCAGGAAAGATTTTTGGTGGTGACGTCATCAGCTGCAACAATCGTTGATCGTCCAGTCAGCAGGAGGACAGTGACTCTGATTGTGCATGGTATTCAGGCGTTTATATCATTCCATTGAGTAGCCCCAAGACGCCAACCTCGACATCAGAGACTGAGATTTGCACACGTAATTTGTTAGTGGCAGAACAGCAACTGGCAAAGACTGTTCTGTGATAAAAGAGTCGCTGCCAACGATGATAGGATTATCAGAGTACACCACCGATGAGGGAAATGGCAGGCATGTTTGTTGTGATCTGGAGGTCGATCGACATGGTGTGGCAAGGAATCTGTGGTGATGCTAGTGTGAATTCTCAACGCTAAATCAACCAGGAACATCGTCCCGTTGTCCTGCCTTTTCCTCCACTCACATGAAAAGACCTTGCTCAGACACTGGTTGAGGAAGGGTGCCAGATGCAAGAAGCCCTCATCAGTTTGGTGTCGAGTTACATAAATACACGCAACAATGTACTAGTCTGTGTTGTCGTCTTCGGTGTCGTGTCTGCACCCTCAGACACAAGGAGATGATAAACATCATAGTGTCCTCGTTCCAATGCCATCATAACTGGTGTTTGTTTTAAATATCCTCCCCGATTGTTGATGTCGCATGTTTTCATTGACAAGACATGTTTCACTATAGACATGTTTCCTCGCTCACATGCCAACATCAGACAGTCTCTGTTGTTTTTATCAGTAATGGCCAGCTCTGCACCCTCAGATACAAGGAGATGATAAACATCATAGTGTCCGCCATCCAATGCCGTCATAACTGGTGTTTGTTTCAACTCTCCTCCCCGCCTGTTGATGTCGCATGTTTTCATTGACAAGACATGTTTCACTATAGATATGTTTCCTCCCACACATGCCAACATCAGACAGTCTCTGTAGTCGTCATCAGTAATGGTCAGATTTGCACCCTCAGACACAAGGAGATGATAAACATCATAATGTCCTTCTTCCAATGCCATCATAACTGGTGTTTGTTTCAACTCTCCTCCCCGCCTGTTGATGTCCCATGTTTTCATTAACAAGACATCTTTCACTATAGATATGTTTCCTCCCTTACATGCCAACATCAGACAGTCTCTGTCGTATACATCAGTAAGTGTCAGATCTGCACCCTCAGATACAAGGAGATGATAAACATCATAGTGTCCTCCTTCCAATGCCACCATAACTGGTGTTTGTTTAAGAAATCCTGTCCGCCTGTTGATGTCCCATGTTTTCATAGACAAGACATGTTTCACTATAGATATGTTTCCGCCCCCACATGCCAACATCAGACAGTCTCTGTTGTTATCATCAGTAAGGGTCAGATCTGCACCCTCAGACACAAGGAGATGATAAACATCATAGAGTCTTCTTCCCAATGCCATCATAACTGGTGTTTCTTTCAACACTCCTCCCCGCCTGTTGATGTCCCATGTTTTCATTGACAAGACATGTTTCACTATAGATATGTTTCCTCCCTTACATGCCAACATCAGGCAGTTTGTGTTGCTATCATCAGTAAGTGCCAGATCTGCACCCTTAGACACAAGGAGATGATAAACATCATAATGTCCTCCTTCCAATGCCGTCATAACTGGTGTTTGTTTCAACACTCCTCCCCGCCTGTTGATGTCCCATGTTTTCAAAGACAAGACATGTTTCACCATAGATATGTTTCCTCCCTCACATGCCAACATCAGACAGTCTCTGTTGTGAACATCAGTAAGTGTCAGATCTGCACCCTCAGATACAAGGAGATGATAAACATCATAGTGTCCTCCTTCCATTGCCATCATAATTGGTGTTTGTTTCAACTCTCCTCCCCGCCTGTTGATGTCCCATGTTTTCATTGACAAGACATGTTTCACTATAGACATGTTTTTTCCCTTACATGCCAACATCAGACCGTCTCTGTTGTAATCATCAGTAAGTGTCAGATCTGCACCATCAGATACAAGGAGATGATATACATCATAGTGTCCTCCTTCCAATGCCATCATAACTGGTGTTTGTTTCAAATATCTTGTCCGCCTGTTGATGTCACATGTTTTCATTGACAAGACATGTTTCACTATTGGTATGTTTCCTCCCTCACATGCAAACATCAGACAGTCCCTGTTGTAGTCATCAGTAAGTGTCAGCTCTGCACCCTCAGACACAAGGAGATGATAAACATCATAGTGTCCTCTTTCCAATGCCACCATAACTGGTGTTTGTTTCAAATATCTTGTTCGCCTGTTGATGTCGCATGTTTTCCTTGCCAAGACATGTTTCACTATAGACATGTTTCCTCCCTCACATGCCAACATCAGACAGTCTCTGTTGTTTTTATCAGTAATGGCCAGCTCTGCACCCTCAGATACAAGGAGATGATAAACATCATAGTGTCCTCCTTCTATTGCCATCATCACTGGTGTTTGTTTCAACTCTCCTCCCCGCCTGTTGATGTCGCATGTTTTCATTGACAAGACATGTTTCACTATAGATATGTTTCCTCCCTCACATGCCAACATCAGACAGTCTCTGTAGTCGTCATCAATAATGGTCAGATCTGCACCCTCAGACACAAGGAGATGATAAACATCATAGTGTCCTTCTTCCAATGCCGTCATAACTGGTGTTTGTTTCAACTCTCCTCCCCGCCTGTTGATGTCCCATGTTTTCATTAACAAGACATGTTTCACTTTAATTATGTTTCCTCCCTCACATGCCAACATCAGACAGTCTCTGTCGTATACATCAGTAAGTGTCAGATCTGCACCCTCAGACACAAGGAAATGACAAACATCATAGTGTCCTCCTTCCAATGCCACCATAACTGGTGTTTGTTTAAGAAATCTTGTCCGCCTGTTGATGTCCCATGTTTTCATTGACAAGAGATGTTTCACTATAGATATGTTTCCTCCCTCACATGCCAACATCAGACAGTCTCTGTTGTAATCATCAGTAAGTGTCAGATCTGCACCCTCAGACACAAGGAGAAAAAAAAAATCATAGTGTCCTCCTTCCATTGCCATCATAACTGGTGTTTGTTTCAAATATCCTCCCCGATTGTTGATGTCGCATGTTTTCATTGACAAGACATGTTTCACTATAGATATGTTTCCTCCCACACATGCCAACATCAGACAGTCTCTGTTGTTTTTATCAGTAATGGCCAGCTCTGCACCCTCAGATACAAGGAAATGATAAACATCATAATGTCCTTCTTCCATTGCCATCATAACTGGTGTTTGTTTCAACTCTCCTCCCCGCCTGTTGATGTTGCATGTTTTCATTGACAAGACATGTTTCACTATAGATATGTTTCCTCCCACACATGCCAACATCAGACAGTCTCTGTTGTCGTCATCAGTAAGTGTCAGATTTGCACCCTCAGACACAAGGAGATGATAAACATCATAGTGTCCTTCTTCCAATGCCGTCATAACTGGTGTTTGTTTCAACTCTCCTCCCCGCCTGTTGATGTCCCATGTTTTTATTGACAAGAAATGTTTCACTATAGAAATGTTTCCTCCCTCACATGCCAACATCAGACAGTCTCTGTCGTATACATCAGTAAGGGTCAGATCTGCTCCCTCAGACACAAGGAAATGACAAACATCATAGTGTCCTCCTTCCGATGCCACCATAACTGGTGTTTGTTTAAGAAATCTTGTCCGCCTGTTGATGTCCCATGTTTTCATAGACAAGATATGTTTCACTATAGATATGTTTCCGCCCCCACATGCCAACATCAGACAGTCTCTGTTGTAATCATCAGTAAGTGTCAGATCTGCACCCTCAGATACAAGGAGATGATAAACATCATAATGTCCTCGTTCCAATGCCATCATAACTGGTGTTTGTTTAAACACTCCTCCCCGCCTGTTGATGTCCCATGTTTTCATTGACAAGACATGTTTCACTATAGAAATGTTTCCTCCCTTACATGCCAACATCAGACAGTCTGTGTTGCCATCATCAGTAAGGGTCAGATCTGCACCCTCAAACACAAGGAGATGATAAACATCATTATGTCCTCCTTCCAATGCTATCATAACTGGTGTTTGTTTAAACACTCCTCCCCGCCTGTTGATGTCCCATGTTTTCATTGACAAGACATGTTTCACCATAGATATGTTTCCTCCCTTACATGCCAACATCAGACAGTCTGCGTTGCCATCATCAGTAAGTGTCAGATCTGCACCCTCAGACACAAGGAGAAGATAAACATCATAATGTCCTCCTTCCAATGCCATCATAACTGGTGTTTGTTTAAACACTCCTCCTCGCCTGTTGATGTCCCATGTTTTCATTGACAAGACATGTTTCACTATAGATATGTTTCCTCCCTTACATGCCAACATCAGACAGTCTGCGTTGCCATCATCAGTAAGTGTCAGATCTGCACCCTCAGACACAAGCAGATGATAAACATCATAGTGTCCTCTTCCCAATGCCATCATAACTGGTGTTTCTTGAAGACATCCTACCCGCCTGTTGATGTCCCATGTTTTCATTGACAAGAGATGTTTCACTATAGATATGTTACCTCCCTTACATGCCAATATCAGACAGTCTCTGTTGTATTCATCAGCAAGGGTCAGATCTGCACCCTCAGACACAAGCAGATGATAAACATCATAGTGTCCTCCTTCCATTGCCATCATAACTGGTGTTTGTTTCCACCTTCCTCCCCGTCTGTTGATGTCGCATGTTTTTATTGACAAGACATGTTTCACTATAGATATGTTACCTCCCTCACATGCCAACATCAGACAGTCTCTGTCGTATACATCAGTAAGGGTCATATCTGCACCCTCAGATACAAGGAGATGATAAACATCATAGTGTCCTCCTTTTGCTGCCTTCATAGCTGATGTTTGCATTAAATATGTTCCCTTCTTGTTCACATGAAACATTTTCAGCGAAATCAAAAACCTCACAGTTGACAGATTGCCATTTTCACTCGCCAAGTGCAAACAATCTGAAAATTTACAGTCGGTAAGAGTTAAATCGGCTCCTTTTTGTTTCAGGAACTTCAGGATCAAAAGGTGACCTGCTTTGGCACAAAGCATTGCAGGTGTTAAACCCACAAAACTCATGGAATTTAGTAAAACAGGATGCATTTCAACCACCTTTCTGGTCAACGCCATACTTCCTGATTCACAGGCATAATGTAAACAGGTGTTTCCTGTCCAGTCCCTCACTGAAATATCAGCACCCTTCTGGATGAGGAAGTTGAACACCTCTGACTGTTCTGACTTGGCAGCCATGATCAGAAGGGTTTTCCCGTCTATGGAAAATTCAACATCAAATCCTCCATGTAGACTCATGACTGTAACGAGGTGTTCCAAGTGTTTCAGTTTGCCATGAGTAACACAGGCTACCACACAGTCGTATAGATCAGTTGATGTGTCACCCCGTCTTACAACAACTTCTAATGACTTTGAGAATAGAAAGTAGCTCTCAGATAGGGAAGCTAAATACAAAAAGCATTCACCTGAGTCCCTATCCTTTTGTTCGACAATATCAACAATGTTATTAATCTCTGTCCATAGTAGGGAGGCATTCCTCTCATCACGGAGAACTGAATGTTTCACTGTCCAAATGAAGCATCCTTGTCGAATACCTTCCACAATTCTGTCCACTACTGTTTGGTGTAGTTGGGGGGTTATGTAGATCATGTTTGTGACATCATCAATGTCAGATGACTGTATACCTTTACCCAGCCTCACTCTTTCATACATGAATTTAAGGGAGCAGTGTTTTAGCAGCAACACGATATTGAGATGTCCTACAGCACAGGCTGCAGCATCGTATATGGAGGGGTGAGAGAAAGATGCGATGTGATCCTCGACTGTACAGTAGACCCCAGTAAAGTTTGCGATCTCCTCGGCAACGCCGATGCTTGTACAACAAGGAACTGCGTCTTTCACAGCATCAAACTTGACATTTCCAGCTTTCCGTGACTGCAAAGAAACAAGGTTCAGGTTTCCATCACACAGGATCAGGAGAAGGATGGCTGCCGATCTATTGCTTTTTTCCCGGACAATTGCGTCAAGGTCACCTCTCAGGTAGGTCAGAGGATTATTGAAGAATTTCACGTTGTGCATCTGAAAGACTGCACGAGTGAAAAAGAGTCTGCTGATAAGAGGGAATCCAAATATGTTTTGTTTTGAATCTGTGATGCTACAAATATCCTTTTCAGAGATATCACATGTAGGATGTTTGCTCTTGTAGGAACGTAACATACGTTTCTTTTCTTCAACCCTGAGATGGTCTTTAGTCATATCAAGCATAGCCTCTGTTTTAAGTAGATCCACTTTGTACTGATGTAGTCTTGAACACCCCTCCTTCCAGATGTATGTCCTAGATGTAAAAACAAGCTTTAGTCTGTAGATGGGGGTTTCTTCATTGGATTGTTCCTTATCTTTTGATTGTTTATCTTTCTTCTTCTTGGAATCCCGCTCTTTATCAGCGACGGTTTTAGCAAGATCATCAACCAAGGCACTGAACAATTCATGTAGTTTTTCCAAATTTGAACTGAATGTGACAGAACCAAATATATCATCAAAAACAACCAGCATGTGTGATTGTCGTTTAGAAATTGTATCAACGTCAAAACGTTCAATGTTTTCCACAAACAATGTTTTATATCTCTTTTGTTGATATGCCTCACAGATCTTCAGAGCAATGCTGGTCTTCCCATCTCCAGGAGCTCCACAGATGCTGACATGGCCATGCTTCTCAAGGAGCTGTTGGGCTGTCTGGAGGGCATGGATGTCCACAAAATACTCCTTGAGCAGTTCCACCTTCTGACAGTAACGTTCTGTGGGAAAAGGGGAAACATTGATTGTGTGAATGTTAAGTTGGTTTACATATAATCAAATCTGGACCTGCGGTAGAAAGCATCATTCCAGTCTGAATAGACAACACAAAAGCAAGGCAGAGTTTAAATCAAGCCACACATTTTAACCACTTGGATCTGACTGTTCATACAATTATCACAAAAATTTAAAACATTGTGTGAGTCTTTTCTTTGCTTACCAGGTGCGTTCAGTGATCCTAAGCAAACTCATAATCATCCTCAATCCCCCAGCCATGGCATGCCAAACAATGTGAAAAGATGGAACTTGTTACCTGCCTGGTATTCACCATGCAGGAGACAAACAAAGATTGGTCAGTTTGGAGTTAGTATCAGTGGACATCCGTGAACTGTGGCATGGTATCTCAGTGGCACAGCACCATAAAGCCACAATATGTCCGGACTAGTACAAGCAACCATACAGACACATGCATGCCCATCGCTATGCATGTGTAGGAATCTTCAACATGACTTTAAGCCCAATTTCACTCTGTCATTCTGAGACAGTGCTGCTTACCAGGTACAATCAAAGTGGGCTGTATAATAATGGTCCATAAAAAAACCAAATAGTATTTTTTACACTAAGTTTCAGCCATGGCTCTGGTGAGATAATAAAACATACTGGATGTTCAATCTAAAGATGAATCACTATCTTAATCTCATTGCCACTGATTGAGTGTGCATCCCATTTCACATGATACATATCCCACCAAAATGTCAACTCTCCCGGCATTTGCATTTTTGAGATGATCATGCTTAAATATGTTTCTCAATTGAGAAAAATATTTTTGGTCAACAGAAAAAAAATAATATGGCCCTACACATCATCCTACATACATGCATCTGAGAAGAAATATTCAGTCAGTGAAACCACAGGTACAGAAGCTCGCCTTTATTCAGAGATGTAGCACTTAATGGGTGAAGATGTGCCGAACGACTTATTTTGCACAAAAGACATAATTCCAAATAAATGGTTAGTTTTTTTAATGAGTAATTTAAGTTATTAAGTGATGAGTTTTCTTAATGACCCCATCCTCTATGTATAAGCTGGCAAAAGAATAATGACTACAAATTCATATTTCTCTGACAGTATCTGTGAAAGTCATTAAATATCAATTCTTCTCTCTTTCTATCATAACCTATATTCTCTGGGTGATGACACATCTGCAGGATTACAGCTGCTGTTTACATATCTCAATTCGGTTGAAGTCAGTTGCTGCATGAATCACCGAGAGATGATTTGCTTGAAACGTGTGGAAGCGGGTTTTCTCATTGGAGATATCTGATCACTGATCACTCCATGCTATCTGTCCAATAATATACAAATGATATACTCTTAAAAAAAAGAAACGCAAAGCCAGATTTGTGTGAGGTAGGGAAATATATATATGCGAGGAACCGTACAAAGTTTTGAGCCAAAATGTTGTGGAGAGAACACTTGGTGATTGTAGTCATCTCAGTTATCGGTACATAGGAAAAGTCCAAGGCGAAGGTCAGCTACCATCAATAACGCGTATGTCCCCCGTTGGAATCAATAGTGGCATGACATCTCTGGCCCATGGAAAAGACGAGTAGGCAAATCACATCCTGGGGAATTGTCCAACTGCTGCAACGTCTGGGGTTATGGTTGACATCAGCGTAGCTGTCTATCCAATCCAATTCATCCCAAAGGTGCTCCAACTATAACGCTACCCTCACCAAATCTGTCCACTTCCTGTACGCAGTTTCCGGCGTAACGTTCTCCCCGATGTCTGTAGGCCCGTGCTCTTCCATTCCCTCGACGGAGGAGAAATTTTGATTCATCTCTGAACCAGACATCTATCCATCGCAGTTGAGGCCACACCCTGTGTCGAGGACACCATTGCAGTCATTGTTGATGGTGTTGTCGACTCAGTATGACCCGTCGAACAGGACATTTTGCCCATAGACCTGCTGCTCTTAAACGGTTTCATACGGTCTGGTCAGAGATTCTGCCCAGTCCGGGTTTTTGGGATGAGGTTGATGTGGCTGTGGTCGTCTTTTCACATAGGTGGCGTAGTTGGATGTTGCAATCTTGGGCGGGGGTGGTTACTCTTGGTCATGCCGGCCTTGGCTGATCTATGTGTTGACCCATGATGTTGAAACCGATCCCATCGCCTTGTGATGGTGCTGGGCGGTACATTGAAAACCCTGGCTACAGCTGATCGGGATTCCTCTGCCTGCAAGCGGCCTATGACGTGGTTTCTTTGCACTTCTGTTAATCTTGGCATGTTGTTAACTGTCACTGTTCGATTGCCGCAGATGCCAGGCAATCAAAAACCCTTCACTTTAATACCGTTCACCGTTCATAGTGTTGTTAATGCACTGGGTGCTTTTTCAGAATAATAAGTGTTTCCCATATAATTGTTTGCATGTCCTTGTTGTGATCATTTTGATTCGTGAAATTTGTCACTGACACTATAACACTCTAAACCTCTTCACTCTGCACATCTTAGTTTTGCTTTTGTGGCCAAAAATATCCGTTTTGCTTTTCTTTTTTTGAAGAGCATATTTAGAGCTCTATCTCTTAAGAGTCATGGTGCTAGTGCGAGCAGTGAGCATCGCTGCGGTTGGTTCCATTCACATCTTTCCGAACAGTTTACTGACTTTAAAAGTCCAGTTCACCCTTGCCGACCTTGGCTTTCAGTTGCAAGTTCATCTTTGTAAACTTTTTAATTCCTTTGATTGCTCTCCTTTTGAAATTGTGGCCATGACTGAGTAAATGTTGCTGATCCACTTTGTTAAATGGAAGCCACCTTACTGGCATGGTTCACCCACATTCTTTACAAGATGTCTCCCGCATCTGTAGGCCCAGATTTTAAACAATCGTCCACATAAAAGCTCTTTCTTATCACTACTATTGACTTCTCTGAAAAGTCATTTTTATAATGATTTGCCGCTTTCGAGCAGCTTGGTGATGATATTGAGCCATACAAATGTGCCACCATTCCATAAGATGTTGGGTATAGATGTACATCGCCTTCCGGCCACAGGTAGTATCTGAAGAAATCACTTTCACTTTCACTACTCCCACCTGGTGGAACATGGCTTCATTATCTGCCATTATGGCTGTATGTTCCTGTCTGAATCACAGGAGGACGCCTGTGAGATCAATTGGTTTCTGCAGCAGCTGACTGTTTTGTGATATACCTTCATATGCTGCCGATCAGTCAAACACAACCCGCAATGTATCAAGTTCCCGAGGATGGTACACACCATGGTGTGGCAAGTACCACACAGGACCGATAGTACCCATCACCTCATCTGTAGGTATGCTCTCAGCATTGCCCTAGTCCACAAGTTTGGACATGGAATCTTCATATTCTTCCCATAACTTAAGATCTCTTTTCAGTTTCACTTTTAGTTATTCTAGTCTCTTAAGGACTTGGGTATGGTTGTCTGGTAGCTTCACCCCTGCTTTCTTGAATGGCAATTTTATGCTGAAATGACCATTCTCCAATGGAATGGAACTGTTCACATTTTGAATGAATATCTTACCCTCTTCTGAATTCTCTTACCTGTCGTCAATATATCTTTCTGGGAAATGAAGCTGGATTGACCGTTTCACAAGTCTTTCCAGCTCGTTCAGTTCATTTACGGCTACTACTTCGGTTCTGTTCAAAAAGGTTCGTCTGCCTAACTCCACTTGACCAGCCTTCCACACTATCCACCCGAGCCTGGTTCGTGTCGCATGTGGACTTCCACTTGCCCAGTCTTCCACACTATCCATCTGAGTCTGGTTGGTCTCGCATGTGGTCTTCCACATGACCAGTCTTCCACTCTATCCATCCAACCTGGTTGGTACGGCATGTGGACTTCCACTTGACCAGTCTTAGTCTTCCACGCTATCCATCCGAGCCTGGTTGGTGTTACATGTGGACTTCCACTTGACCAGTCTTCCACACTATCCATCCGAGCCTGGTTGGTGTCGTATTTAGACTTCCACTTGGCCAGTCTTCCAAACTATCCATCCGAGCCTGGTTGGTGTCGCATCTGGACTTCCACTTTACCAGTCTTCCACACTATCCATCCAAGCCTGATTGGTGTTGCAAGTGGACTTCCACTTGACCAGTCTTCCAAACTATCCATCCGAGCCTGGTTGGTGTGGCATGTTGACTTCCCCTTGGTCAAGTCTTCCACACTATCTATCCGAGCCTGTTTGATGTCGTATGTAGACTTCCACTTGACCACTCTTAGTCTTCCACACTATCCATCCTAGCCTGGTTGGTGTTGCATGTGGACTTCCACTTGACCAGGCTTAGTCTTCCAAACTATCCATCCGATCCTGGTTGGTGTTGGACGTGGACTTCCACTTGACCAGTCTTAGTCTTCCACACTATCCCTTCGAGCCTGGTTGGTGTTGCATGTTGACCAGTCTTAGTCTTCCACACTATCCATCCGAGCCTAGTTGGTGTCGCATGTGGACTTCCACTTGACCAGTCTTCCACACTATCTATCCGAGCCTGGTTGGTGTCGTATGTAGACTTCCACTTGGTCCTGTCTTTCACACTATCCATCCGAGCCTGGTTGGTGTCGTATGTAGACGTCCACTTGACTAGTCTTTGTCTTCCACACTATCCATCCAAGCTTCGTTGGTGTCGCATGTGGTCTTCCACTTGGCCAGTCCTCCACACAATCCATCCGAGCCTTGTTGGTGTCGCATGTGGACTTCCACTTGACCAGTCTTCCACACTATCCATCCGAGCCTGGTTGGTGTCGCATGTGGACTTCCACTTGACCAGTCTTAGTCTTCCACACTATCCATCCGAGCCAGGTTGGTGTCGTTTGTAGACTTCCACTTGACCAGTCTTCCAAACTATCTATCCGAGCCTGGTTGGTGTCGCATGTAGACTTCCACTTGGCCCAGTCTTCAACACTATCCATCCGAGCCTGGTTGGTGTCGCATGTGGTCTTCCACTTGACCACTGTTCCACACTATCATTCCGAGCCAGGTTGGTGTCGTATGTAGACTTCCACTTGACAAGTCTTCCAAACTATCCATCCGAGCCTGGTTGGTGTGGCACGTGGACTTTCACTTGGTCCAGTCTTCCACACTATCCATACGAGCCTGGTTGGTGTCGCATGTGAACTTCCACTTGACCAGTCTTCCAGACTACCCATCCGAGCCTGGTTGGTGTCGCATGTGGACTTCCACTTTACCAGTCTTCCACAATATCCATCCGAGCCTGGTTGATGTTGCAAGTGGACTTCCACTTGACAAGTCTTCCAAACTATCCATCCGAGCCTGGTTGGTGTGGCACGTGGACTTTCACTTGGTCCAGTCTTCCACACTATCCATACGAGCCTGGTTGGTGTCGCATGTGAACTTCCACTTGACCAGTCTTCCAGACTACCCATCCGAGCCTGGTTGGTGTCGCATGTGGACTTCCACTTGACCAGTCTTAGTCTTCCACACTATCCATCCGAGCCTGGTTTGTGTCGTATGTGGTCTTCCACTTGACCAGTCTTCCACACTATCCATCCGAGCCTGGTTGGTGTGGCATGTGGACTTTCACTTGGTCCAGTCTTCCACACTATCCATCCGAGCCTGGTTGGTGTCGCATGTGAACTTCCAATTGACCAGTCTTCCAGACTATCCATCCGAGCCTGGTTGGTGTCGCATGTGGACTTCCACTTGACCAGTCTTAGTCTTCCACACTATCCATCCGAGCCTGGTTTGTGTCGTATGTGGTCTTCCACTTGACCAGTCTTCCACACTATCCATCCCAGCCTGGTTGTTGTTGCATGTGGACTTCCACTTGACCAGTCTTAGTCTTCCACACTATCCCTTCGAGCCTGGTTGGTGTTGCATGTTGACCAGTCTTAGTCTTCCGCACTATCCATCCCATCCTGGTTGGTGTCGCATGTGGACTTCCACTTGACCAGTCTTCCACACTATCTATCCGAGCCTGGTTGGTATCGTATATAGACTTCCACTTGACCAGTCTTCCACACTATCCATCCGAGTCTGATTGGTGTTGCATGTGGACTTCCACTTGGTCCAGTCTTCCACGCTATCCATCCGAACCTGGTTGTTGTTGCATGCGGACTTCCACTTGACCAGTCATAGTCTTCCACACTATCCATCCGAGCCTGATTGATGTTGCATGTGGACTTACACTTGGTCCAGTCCTCCACACTATCAATCCGAGCCTGGTTGGTGTCGCATGTGGACTTCCACTTGACCAGTCTTCCACACTATCTATCCGAGCCTGGTTGTTGTTGCATGCGGACTTCCACTTGACTAGTCTTTGTCTTCCACACTATCCATCGGAGCTTCGTTGGTGTCGCATGTGGTCTTCCACTTGACCAGTCTTCCACACTATCCATCCGAGCCTGGTTGGTGTCGCATGTGGTCTTCCACTTGACCAGTCTTCCACACTATCCATCCGAGCCTGGTTGGTGTCGCATGTGGACTTCCACTTGACCAGTCTTCAACACTATCTATCCGAGCCTGGTTGGTGTCGCATGTAGACTTCCACTTGACCAGTCTTCCACACTATCCATCCGAGGCTGGTTGGTATCGCATGTGATCTTCCACTTGACCAGTCTTCCACACTATCCATCCGAGCCTGGTTGGTGTCGCATGTGGACTTCCACTTGACCAGTCTTCCACACTATCTATCCGAGCCTGGTTGGTGTCGCATGTAGACTTCCACTTAGTCAAGTCTTCCACACTATCCATCCGAGGCTGGTTGGTGTCGTATGTAGACTTCCACTTGACCAGTCTTAGTCTTCCAAACTATCCATCCGAGCCTGGTTGGTGTCGCATTTGGACTTCCACTTGGTCCAGTCCTCAAATCAATCGAACTGCATGCATGTCCCAATCAACAGGTCAATATCTGCTGAAGCCTGTGGCATGCGAACGTCATGAAGATGCAGCCAATGACAAATGTCTGCATGCATTGGGATATTACACCGCGAGACAGTCATCTTGTCCTTTGTGTAGACCCTGGATGGTTCAATTACATTGTGCGCATCAATATCAAACACTTCTTTTCACACTGATTTTAAGGTGAGGTGAGTTGAAATGGAGATTAACGTAGCGTTCAAGATTATTGCACTTACATAGCGATGTGCATGCACGTGTGTTTATGGCCGCTTGTTCTAGTCCAGACAAATGCCGATTTTATAGTACTTGCCCACTGAAATACCATGCCGCAGTTTAAAAGGAATACCCCACTCAGACACAGTATACTGGCCCCAAGCTGACCAGTCCTTGATTTATCCCCTTAATGCCGAGCACCAGACAGAAGAGCAACAAGTACCATCTTTTAGCATCTTTTGGTATGACGAGGCCAGGGATTGAAGCCCCGACCTTCCACTCTCCAGGCAGACACATTTCCACTAGACTACTGTCAGGATCTTTAAACTTTTTGTAAAATTTGAATTGTTAAATATACTTCATACAAAAAACATGCAATCAATTTACACTGTTATTAATAACATAAAGAGTCAATCAGTATCACACGAGAAGATCTCTAAAAGCATTCTAAGAGGGCAAGGATCTGTCTACTGCAAAGGTCATAGTTGGGGTCATCAGGCGTCACAGGGTCATGTACCCTTTTAAGTCCTCCGTCAATAGAAAGTAACCCATCTTTGAAGTACTGTGGGACTTAGCCCTTGCCTCAACAGCAAAAGTAATTGGCAAAAACGTTTGTCATTCGTGCACAATTTGGTCCTGCTTGAACTTTTACTATTCATTTCCTAAATCGAAATGTGCATGAAACCTAGCCTGAGCCACCCTATCAACTGCTTCTCACAAAGTTGCTAGAACCATTTCCTTTTTGAGTTTGCTTTCCATGAACAGTATTCCAGATGTAGCATGGCTTGGAAATCCCACAGTGAGGCAGGTTTCAGACATTTTTGCCACTGAAACCAACAAGCCCTGGTCCCATGTGCTCCAAAATGAATGCAGATAACTTGATGAAACATGATGGCATGCTAGAGTGCGGTTGAATCTAAGATACGGTTTCCAATTTTGAACCTACTTTTGATTTTTATTGCCCATGAGAGCGTCTTCACTTTCATGACATTATTTTCATGATAATGATGTAACCTATTATGACTACGATTGACAGTCATATTGAAAAATATCAGATCAGACTTCTGTGATCAAAATTCAGTTCAGTGGGATCAGTTGGCAAAGTTTCAGTTCATAGGTATTGTCGTTCCTTGGATGTAAAAAATACAGTTATACGTGAAAGATGGGTATGTAAAAGTCAAAGGTCATAAGTGGGTCAAAAACATAAATTTGACAAAAAATGTATGTAACTCCAAAAGACGCATACTTGCTGCATATCAAATTTCATAATGATACAAGCAGAAATGCTGAAATAATACAAAGCATTTTCAAGATGGCCACAGTGGGGGCCATGTTTTATAAAATCAGACTGAAATCATATGAGCATATTTTAGAGATAACATAGCTAGGATCATGCATACAAGTTTCCCATTTTATTTATGGACAATCTGTTTAATACATTTCCAAACCCTCTCCCAAATAACAAGTGGTTTCTTCTTCAGCATGTTTATTCGATATGAACTATGCTAAATTATTCTTATAATAATAGTTGTCCTCTACATCAATTTATCAGCATTTGCATGCCTTGTGGCATCTCACCTTGTGACAGACAGCCTCTAGCTCCTAGTTCCCCGACGAAGACGGAGACATTGGTAGCATTGGTCAAGTCCACTTGAGTCACTGGACCACCTGCAAAAGAGTAAACCTCTGGTCTTATTATCGTCAGATAAATAAAAGCAACAAAACTCTTCCACAATCAGGAGAAATCTCTCCTGAAAACACATAAATATACTTTGACATTTGAAATTTGGCACAAAATTAATCTGTCGCTACTATTCACCTGAACAGATTCCGTCCGGCCTGAATCACCAAAAATCGTGAGGACACCAGGTGTTGGTAAAAAGGGTAAGCATGTCCCGCCCTATCGGCAACACCCTCCACTCACAATTTGCTTTAAAAGTAAGTGTTTTTATGGTGCCTGATGATGCACAGCAGTTCCCATTCAATCTCACCCCTGCTGACACGAAGGGCACACTCTTGAATGTGCACAACAAAATCAGCATGGATGTAATGTTCACTTTTATCAGTTCCACAGTCAACAAACAAAGATACCACGATGACACCCTGCTGGCACATGAAAGAAAATACTTTTATGATTTTCTTGTTCCATCCATTACAAAAAGGTGGAATAAGTTACCAATTTGTCAAAGAAACCTAGATAAAAAATCAAGCTACATACAAAAACTACAAAGGCTTCTTCACAAAAAATAGCATTAATCACAGAAAATAAAAAACAAAAATGGAGAGTCATGTGAAAATGTATTTCATTTTATAATTGTATCTAAATATTATGGCATCTATTGATTCAACCTCCCTCAAGAAATGGAACTGTATTGTTAATGTGCCTGTTTTCATTTATGTTTGATGTTACAATGCAATGCACTGTTAACAATAAAACATGTCTTTAATGTTGGGCATAAACATAATTATCCCATTATGTCATGTTAAGTGTTCTTTATCACATGATCATCAAATAATTGGAAAATCCAGAATTCTGTGAGCATTATTTTGAGACATTATACACATTTTCAGCTCCACATTCCTTGTTATTTCAACTATGTGAAAAATGCAGTAACAGAAGGTCAAAGGTCATAACTTTATAACAAGAGGCCCATAGGGCCTGTATCGCTCACCTGGATATTTACGCAATCATGACGAAATATGCATTGCATTGTACATGTATATAATGCTGCAAATATTTCGTAATTTTGACTCAGCATTTAAAAGGGGTGGATGGCAAATCTGACAGCATGAACGTGTACTTCTCTTGATACTAATGTAGCATAAAGATCTGCAACATTTCCATGTTATGTTTCAGGATCTAAGTTTCCAGAGGCAAGGCTGGACCCCAGGGCGAATCCTACTGGCATAAATGTATTATTTTCATCATAACAAACAAATGCATGCAGTGTATCTGTTTTTTATAGGGTGGGGATAATTTTGGTTTCCATGCTATGGTCAAGGTTCTAACTCCTTTGGGAGTGCCGGACAGATGAACAGAAGGGCCAGTCCTGGTAGCATATGTGTATTTGTCTTGTTATAATAAGCAGTTACATGTATACATGTATATATAGGGTGGGGATCTCAACTGTTTCCAAGTTTTCAACCAAGAACTTAATCCCTAGGGGTGTAGCAAGACTCCAGGCTCAATTCTAATAGCATGATTGTGTGTGTCTCTTTATGCCCAGCAATTGTGTATATGGTTATGGGGTGGGGGTCTAAACTGTTTTAAAGTTATGAACCAGGGATTAATTAAGTCTCCAGGGGTGGAGCAGGAACCCTCGGGCCATCCTGGTAGCATATGTGCATTCCTCTCATTATACTCAGCAATTGTACATATATTATTGTGGGGATCTGGGGCGGTATTCATAAACATTCTTAGAATTTTCTTAACAATACTCTTAACTCGCTAAGAAAATTCTTAGTTTTAAGAGTAACTTTTAGTATTTCTAAGAATTTTCTCAGACTTAAGACCTCTTTAGCACTCTAAGAATGTTTATGAATACGGCCCCTGAACTGTGTCAAAGGTATAAACTCTATTTGGCTCCGCCCTCGACCCTGGGAGGGGGGGGTGGGAGGGGGGCAACCCTTCCATTTGTACAATTTTGAATTCTCAACACCGAAGAATGCTTCCAACCAAATATGGTTGATATCTATCTCTTAGTTCCAGAGAAGAAGTTGCTCAAAGCAATATAGCCAAATTACCCTATTTAGACCTCGCCCCTCCGTCCACTGGGGAGTCAGAGCTTCTATTTGTACAATTTTAAATCCCCACCACCTAGGGATGCTTCCACCCATATATGGTTGATATCTATCTCATAGTTATACCTGGTTTGACCTCAAACAAATATACCAAATCTTTAATTTTATCCAAAACAATTATTTTTTGTTGTTGTTAGATCAGCTTCTGATATCGATCTTACTCCTTCTTTTCTAGCTGTATGCATGACTGTACAGGTTTGAAATACTCACTGTAGTTGTGCTGTATTGAAGATGTGGCAGTAGGTTGTCTCCCTTGTTCAGTCCTCCTCAGTAAATCAGCTGCTTCCTCTGTGAGGCGTCCGGTCGTCTGATGGTCACGTGAGTCCGGATTTCCTTCCATTTCTCACTGTTCTGAAAGAAGACTACCTGTTTTATATGAACGAGGACTTTGATAAGCACTTTAAACGTTGGAAACTAAAGTATTACTAACGTTCACAATAAAATGTCATCAATTGACCTTGACCTTTCTTTTTAGGAGCAAACAATTACCAAGTCTCAGTGTCGCAGGTTAAGTTTTACTAATATGTTAATTATGTCACCAACTTGTTTCCATATCTAATATTGGCTTGAACAGGCCACCTTAACTGTGGTCTGTCAGGTACATCCTGGGCCCTGGCACATGCAGTCCCTGCAAATGATGTAGAGGCAGGTCACATGACTGTCCTCTATATAGACTGCATGTGTTAGGAACCCAGCACACACCATGCCGGACCACCAAGCCATATAGCATGTCGCTTTGTTATAATTGCAGGTATGTTGAATGGGTTGTGTGAATGCTCTTTTAATCTTTTTTTATTGAAATAGGTTCATTCTTGTGTGAATTATATTAGTCCAGATAACTGTTTTATTATTGAGATGAATAGCAATAATATACTAGATGACTGTTTAATTATTGAGATGAATATCAATAATATAGTAGATGACTGTTTAATTATTGAGATGAATATCAATAATACAGTAGATGACTGTTTAATTATTGAGATGAATATCAATAATATAGTAGTTAAAAACAACTACATGGTCAGCATGTGTTAGGAACCCAGGACACACCATGCCGGACCACCAAGCCATATAGCATGTCGCTTTGTTATAATTGCAGGACTCATCATAAATAAAACATCAGCCCAGAACGAGAACTTTGTTGTTCCTGTGACATTATGGCGCCCAACGTGGGGCTGATGTAGGAATGAAGACCTGTGGCTTGTGTGGCCGTGACGTCATCGTATCCCTGTGGTTGTAATCACAGCAGCTGCAGTCTCCGCATGGATGGAGCAATTCTTTTCTCGTGCTGAGATATTCAGTTGGAAGTGGTAGGGCCCGTACCCCAGGGGGAAATTATGATTGACATCGCCGGCATCATGTGTACACTCGCGTTATCGCGTTCGCGTTCCTAAGTTGGTTGTTGTTGTTTTGGTTGTTTTTTTCTTTTTGTGCCAAGACAATAACTTTCTGTACACGGACTTCGCTGAGGTGCAAGTGACTTTATACTTTTCATTGTGTTTACTTGACATTGTGATGTCAGCATGTGACTTTGCATTACCTTTGCTAGATAATTTTGTCAGCATGTGACATTGTTCTAGTCGGCAAAGTGAAGATTGTGTTTGTGTATGTTCATTCTTGATTATGAAACTAGCATGGCCATTTGAAATGTTTGTTGTTCGATTTTGTTATTTTTTGACTATGAATTCCGTTTTTGGAATACCTTTGTGTGATTATTTGGTTAGCGTACTATAATCTGGGTGTTTAAAACAAATTCAGGTAGAAGTTTACTGTGAGTAAAAATGGAAAGAATGAATCTTTGACTGTATGGAAGGTTTATCTGCACTTCATTTTCACTCAATATCCCTTAACAAGTATGGCAATAATACTCACTGACACATTTTACATTGACTGATTCAAATTGATGTCATTAATAATGACTTGTTTGTTTTCAGACAGCAGCTTGGTCCAGCATTTATAATTGTGAACTTCATGGATATATTTTCACTTCTAATGCTTGAGAAAGTCTTTGTTGTATTACTCTATTTGTTGATTACCCGTGCAGCCATGGCTACTGGTGGGAAAGAGGACTGGGAAGGCTTGAAGGAGGAAGAGGGGCACATTGGCCGTGAGGATCTCCAGAAAATGATCAGGTTTAAGGAAACATCTGGCTACCGTGTGCTTCCACCAAGTTCAACACCTCACCGGGTGGCAAGTCATTCCTTTTCTTCTTCACCTAGTACACATTATGTGCAGCCACCTCGTATTTCAACATTTTCTGGCAGTGATGCTAAGGGGGAATCATCCTTCGAGAGTTGGGTTTTTGAGGTCAAATGCTTGCTTAGAGATAGAGATTATCCCACTTCCATCCTAACTCAGGCTGTTCGGAAATCTCTTAAAGGGGAGGCTGGAAAAGTTGTTCTCTTACTTGGAGAATCTGCCTCAGTTGAGGAAATCTTGGCTAAGCTGGATAGCATATATGGTGTCGTTAGTTCAGCTGATACACTTCTTCAGGATTTTTTCACTGATTGTCAGAAGGAAAGTGAGTCCGTGGCAACGTGGGCTTGTAGGCTTGAGGACACATTGATGAAAGTTAAGATGAAGGGCGACTTCATAAATGAAGGATCCGGGGATTGCATTCTAAAGACAAAGTTTTGGAGTGGTTTAAAAAATGACAGGCTTAAGGATGCCACGCGTCACAAATTTGATGATTGTACAGATTTTGATTCTCTGCTTCGTGTTGTTTGAGAAACAGAACAAGAGCTCACTGGGTCTAATAGGGTTAAGGACTCTAAACAGAAGAAGCCTCAAGTTCATTCTCAGGTTGTTGATGCAGATATATCTCAATACTTGAAGGATATTATCAAGAGATTAGAGAACTTAGAGAAAAACCAGATAAGTTCAAATCAACATAAATCATCAAAATTGGAGAAGGATGTTGGGGAGATTGTAACTAGATTAACAAAACTTGAGTCCAAAGTTGGACAAGTTACTCAATCTGGTAGTAACTCTGGAAATTCTAGTTCACGTTGTAGTGGCCAGGGTCGTGGCAGAGGTATGGTCAGTAACCGGGCTTTAAACCAGTCTTGACTTCTGTTGAGGAGCAAACAGACGTCACTGATATTTCCAGCTCCAATGACTTGTATTCTAGGATGGTTGGTCCACGTGTAGAGGCTAATGTCTTTGTTAATGGCAGGGAATGTTTGGTCTTGCTTGATACAGGTTCACAGGTAACAACCGTTGCAGAAACGTTTTATCATGAGCACATGAATGATCTTGAGTTGCGCAGTCTGGATGAGTTTCAATTGGAAGTGAGTGGTGCAACTGGTAACAAGCTGCCATATTTAGGTTATATTGAGTGTCCTATTGGCGTTGCATTTGATAATGGAACATATGACATTCCAGTCTTGGTAGTTGGGGATACAGAGTTTAATGCTAGAATTCCTGTAATTCTCGGTACCAATACTCTCAAACTATTTCGCCATTGTCCACTGGATGTTGTCTCTGAACCTTGGCAGGCAATCTTGGCATATTTGAATGCCAGTGTAGGTATTGTCAGGTCTACCAGTAAGCATTCCTTTTCACTTAAGCCCATGGCAGTTGCTACATTGAGAGGCATAGTCCATACCCAGTCAGGCAGAATGACCACTGTTACCGAACAGTTAGATGATGGCAGTTCACCTCAAGGGTTAGGTATCTGTCCAAGGGTAGTAGAAATAGGAGCTCAAGGCAAAAGGACTGTAGTTCATGTCAAAGTTTGTAATTTATCCGCAAGGGTTATTACACTCCCAGGTAGAGCTAAGCTGTGTAATTTGCAGGAGGTTCAGGTGATGGATTGTTCACCGTTGAACTTAGACAAGTTTTCTTCTGGTACTGTTAAAGAAAATCCTCCCGTTACCATTGATTTAGAGGGCAGTCCACTGTCATGTGAACAGAAACACAAGGTCGAGGGTATGCTTAGTCATTGGTCAGACATTATGTCTTAACATTCATTAGATTTAGGGCATACTACAACAGTCCAACATGAAATAAACCTCACAGATGATAAACCATTTAAGAAGCCATACCGTAGGATACCCCCAGCCTTATTTGAAGAAGTAAGGCAACATCTTAAAAACATGCTCGAGTGTGGAGCCATTCGTGAAAGTAGTAGCCCTTATTCTTCAAACATTGTCTTAGTACGCAAAAGGGACAACGGTCTGAGAGTATGCATTGACATGAGAAAACTTAATGCTAGGACTATTAGAGATTCATATTCTTTACCCAGGATAGATGAAACTCTTGATTGTCTTGTTGGTTCTCGGTGGTTCTCCAAGCTTGATTTGAGCTCTGGCTACTGGCAAGTAGAGTTAAAAGAACCGGATAAGGAAAAAACAGCATTTTCTGTAGGTCCTCTCGGCTTCTATGAGTGTAATAGAATGCCATTTGGGTTGACAAATGCACCAGCAACTTTTCAGAGATTAATGGAAAGATGTATGGGGGATTTACACCTTAAGGAATGCTTGATCTATATTGATGACATCATTATTTTCTCACAAACGTTTGAACAACATTTGGAGAGAGTAGAGGCTGTTTTTCAGAGGTTGCGAGAACATGGTCTAAAGTTGAAACCTTCAAAGTGTGAGCTTTTCAGAAATAAGGTTAAATACCTAGGGCATATTGTGTCATCCCAGGGTGTAGAAACAGATCCAGAGAAAGTGGAAACACTGATAAATTGGCCAATTCCTAAGAATATTAAAGAGCTACAGAAGTTTCTGGGTTTCACCGGTTATTACCGTAGATTTGTCGAGAACTATGCCAGGATAGCGAAACCTTTGACTGATTTACTTCTTGGGAATCTGCAGAAAGGAAAGCCAAAACAGAAGGGAAAATGGACTTGGAATAGCGAACAGCAGAAAGCTTTTGATACACTGATACAGTGTCTTACATCACCTCCAGTGCTAGCCTATGCAGACTACACTTTAGCTTTTATCATTAACATAGATGCAAGTATGGAAGGTCTAGGGGCAATACTTTATCAAGTTCAGGATGGTAGGGAACGTGTGATAGCATACGCCAGTAGAGCACTTAGGAAACCTGAGAGAAATTACCCAGCTCATAAGTTGGAATTCTTGGCGCTAAAGTGGGCTGTGTGTGACAAATTTCATGAGTATCTGTATGGAAGTCGTTTTGAAGTAAGAACGGACAATAATCCCCTTACATATGTTTTGTCAACAGCAAAGCTGGATGCAACTGGTCATAGGTGGCTAGCTGCTTTATCCACTTATGATTTCAAGATTGTCTATCGTGCAGGGAAAATCAACAAGGATGCTGATGCATTATCTCGTCACCCTCAGTTTTCTCAGCATATTCAGGCTGATGTAGTAA